GATGAACACAAATATTTGTTCTCCAATCATATTAATAATGATGTTATTTAGTTTTCACAGTACAAGCTCTGCTTCGTCTGCATACTGCAAAAGCCCACTAAGATATACTTAGTTTGGAAATAAAATAATTGATGTGCTTAGATTAAATCAAAATCTAAGTATTGTTGTCGATCAGAATTAATTTATTTAGTACTATTTATTTTTTTATGCTTCGCACCCTTTTCAGAGTCCGAGTTCACAGGACTGGTAGTGGCATGTTGGTAAACTTAAAAGTTTTATTATAAGCTGGTTTTATCGGGTGTTTTTTTTGTTATTAAACTTTATAAGGATAATCTGATTGTACAAAATCCTATTAGATAGATATGAAAAATAATACAACGCGTATGATAGAAAATAACTAAATGATATTTATTATGAAATCAGACACTAATCAGCGATCAATCATGATGGATGATAAGAGCGCGTCCTCGTGCCTCTGAAACGAATATGAATGCATTTGATACTGTTCATGGATATAATTGTATTGCATAAAAGTTAATACATCTTTTAGTTCCAGTCATAACTTCATTCAATTTGTTCAATTGGCAAGTATACAAGTTTTCTTAGTTTATTCTTCATTGATATATTTTAATTAATGTTAAGATTTGATTCATGTGTGGCGACTGGATTCCAAGAATGCTGACTTGATATAAGCGTCGACGCGCGGTCCGCGGTGACGCGAGCCAGTCGCACATTACCACCGATCCCGTCAGGTTCATTCTCAAGTCATTGCAATAGTACGTATAACAGTTAGAAAATAGACAGTATAATTTGGAGTCAGAGTAATTTAGATGAACATTGTGAAGTGAATAAACAGTCAGTGATTTATATAGCAGCTTTTATTTGACATTCACACCAGACCCTAACTTAGGTAAAGTGGCAACAATATAAGTCTATAGAGACCCATATGCCAAAGTGATAATATAATTACCAAACATGTAATAGCATATTTTTGAAGTTATACTTCTTTAGGCGCGTTATGAAAAAATGATTAGAGTGAAATTTTAAGATGCGCACGCATCACTGTAACACAAAAAATTAACAGCATGAAGTTGCTGCTGCAACTTCATGCTGTTACTTTTGTGTTTACCGCACATTAAGAAAATCTACTATAATAATAGAAATAGAATCTCTATTTTGTGGGTGCTAACGACTGCATTGTGAAGGCCTATCAAAAGTATTTATTAATCTGGAACAACGGAACCAAAGCGCCATTCAGGAGACTACAGCGCCATCTCTTGACCATTGGTGTAGTAGAACCAAAAACCACATCTTTATTTTTTGTAATAAAGTAACAAAAAGTATTTATTAATCTGGAACAATGGAACCAAATCGCGATTCAGGAGACTACAGCGCCATCTCTTGACCATTGGTGTAATAGAACCAAAAACCACATCTTTATTTTTTGTAATAAAGTAACAGTTATAGGTATTCATATTTATAATATTTATCCACATGTTTCTAGTTTGTATATTCGGAATACGTGTTTGAGTTTCATACAAGTGCAAATCACATATGTTCTAATAAATTATATTCAGTAGCGATTTTAATTGAATATTTTGATTATTTATTTATTTTTTCAAATTAAAACTGAACTTTATTGACTGTGTCCTTTTCCAGACTTTTTATTAATTTATTGTAATTAATTATTTGCATGCAATTAAAAACTAATTTTAAACGATGCCAAAGAAGGATAACTTCTCACGCGCCTACATAAGTACACGCACCCATTTTTTTACATTTAAATTAACATACAAGTTAAATTGTTGTATTTCACAATGAATATGATACTAAAATTTAAATCCGACGCGGCCATCAGGGCCGTGGTAGCATAATTGGTCAGTGCATTCGTCCGGATTGCGAAGGGTACGGGTTCAAGTCCCGTCCGCTGCCTGGTCCGCGTGGATTTAGTTTTCTAGTAAAACTTTTCTTTAGATTTAAACATCTAGCAGATAAATGCTTAAAAAAATATAAATACTAAAATTAGTTAATGCTATCACAATTTTTTTATATGAATAACTTTAGCAACATATAGATCTATGTAGTGTATCGGGAAATCAAGAATCATAATGAATTTTAGTGTTTTGAATTTTCAACTAATATATTGTAGTCCGAAAATTCCCACAATTGTACGAATTCTATAACATTTGATAGAAAATGATAAATAAGATAAAGTAAATAAAAACAAAAATTTGAATAATAAGCAATGGATAACACTTGACACTATGATTTTTCCAAGATAATTTAATTACAAAAATGAGACCCAATTTTAGTGAAAAAATTATCTAGCAAGTCGTTAAATCTAACGTTACCTGTTCCTTGTGTGACTGAATGCCTAATCAACTAACGACTGTATCAGTTGATAGACCTAATTTAGATTTAGTCCAAATATTGTTTCGGTAAGCGCCTTCTTGGGTGTCTAGAATTACTGGCTAATATTCGTTTCAGAAACTCAAATTGATTTAGCTTCTTCTTCTTCGAGTGCTTCTCCAACTAGTGAAGGCTGGCAGTCAGCTCCGCATATTTCATCCGGTTTATGGTGAGGTTAAAAACCTCCTCGGCACTCGCGATTCCGGTCCATTCTCGGATATGACGCAGCCACAACTACCTCCGTCCAACAGCTCTTTTCCCGGACACCTTGCTTTAGTACTGATGTTCAAACGACACGCAAGTTAGTTTAATAATGATTTGTCAAGAAAATATTAATGTATGATAAAAGTCGGGATTTGGCGACTTACCGCAAACTCTCCTTACGTTGCCACGGGTACAGAGAGCTAGATTGTAGAACGGGGCTTATCATGCGTAGGAGTCCATAGGTCAGAAGGGTCACGATATATTCCGGAGACAGTCCTCACACTTGATTTAACGGAATAAGCTTGAGTGTTAAATGATAACTGCTTACGCACCGAAGGTTCGATCAAACTACGAACACACAAGGCACAGTGGTATGCTTCAGAACGAAGTTCGGTTTGTTACCTACCCCATAAATAAATTAAGTAAAAAAATCAACCTTACAATTTGTGTTGTCCTGAAAGTTAACGAATAAATAATCTGTTTTGCTACGGAACAATTAATAATAACTCATTGTAATCAATAGCCATTTGGACATTTCTTAAAACCGACTGAAATGCTTTAAAATAAATTCAGACTGGATTTGTGTTGACTGATTCGAATCATTTAAGGCATTGTTTTGGTCAATGATATGTATTTTGTTTTTATGTTATAGGGGGCATACGAGCAGACGGCTCACCTGATGGTAAGTGATCACCGTCGCTCATGGACACTTGCAACACCAGGAGTATCACAAATGCGATGCCGGCCTTTAATGAAGGAGTACGCTCTTTTTTTGAAGGTTTTTGGGTCGTATCGGTCCGGAAACACTGCTGGCGACAACATATTCCACAGTTTTGTCGTACGTGGTAAAAAATTTCGACAAAAACGCACGGTTGTGGATAGCCACGCATCAAGATGATGGGAATGAAATTTTTGTCGCGATGTACGATGGCGAAATGCAGCAGCTGGAATTAATCCGAACAATTCCTCAGAACACTCCATATAGAACATAATTGTCGGTATATTATCATAAGTTGGGATTTCAGCGTGATGTCAAGTTTCAATATCATATATGAAAACCGATACTTAGTCTTACTCTTATAAATGTGAAAGTTAGAACCTAGAGGGTGTTTGGCTGATTTTTGCCCTCTCAGGCAACTATAGCTGAAAGGATTTGAATAGTGGCAAAATAGTTTATATTGTATATGTACTTGGATTAAGACAGGCAGATTCTGTGTGAAAAATATCGGATTTTGAAAAACAGTTTTTCGCAGATTTGAACTATTTTATATGATATGGTCAGCAGATAGATAGGTTACTTAGGAATAGTATGCACTTTAAAGTTTGCCCTTTGTTGTCATTAAAGTTTGCTTAGAATTATGAAAGCCCGATGGTTAAAGTCGAGAGCAAAGTGTTTTCGTAAACATATTTTTTGGATTACTTATGTAGGAGATAATTTTCTTATTTAATTAGATACTAAATGTGAGCCTCTCACTCACTAACGTCTGCGACGTAAGGGAATAGGGTCTGAGTCAGCAAAGAGACTAATGGGGAGCTGGCTGGACATTAGCTCTTAATATTTAAAATTATGTAGGTACACATATTCACCGGGTTTCAGTTGCTACACCATTCTTTCACCTTTTTTATACCATGATTAGCTTTTCCGTTGAAAGATTTGTGAATTAACTGTAGACATAATTAAAAATCTTATTTGTTTTTATGCCTAAACAGTGGGACACGGCATTCCTAAACTTTTTTTCATTTTTAAATCTGTATTTTATATTTTTTATTTTATAGTCATAATTGTTTTATCATTTACATTTGTAATGGAAAGTGACTTCATGGGTTATCTCATATTGAACTCATTTTTCAAATTGACGACTCTGTATATAATACAGGGAGAAAAAAACAGCCCTTGCTGAGTTTCTTGCCGGTTCTTCTCAGTACAAGGTCTCCCGCCGTAGATTTGCGAACCGATGGCGTAGCTTTTCGACATTCACAAGTGCTTGTAACAGCCTAGACTGAATAAACGATATTGAATTTTGAATTTTTTGAATTTTATTTTTCTAGAAGTTTGAAACGTGACATTTGTTTCTTACAGTAAGTTCAGCGGTAAGTTTGTGGAGAGTTTGAGATAGCGCGCCATCTCATATCATCAAGATTATCAAAAATTCCTTCTTCAAAATTAACTACGTGTTTGTCACGCCGACGTAGTAAAGTAAGCAGTGCGTAAACGTGCTCCCAGCAATAGGAGTGGTGCTCATCGGGGATCGAAGCGAAGAAATGTTGGACGGCTACCAACATTCGATCTACGGCGAGGGCGACGGCACGGGTGAGCGAGCGGCGGCCGGGCGGCGGCAGCGCGGCGCGCGCAGCGGCAGGCCGGGAGACGCGGGGCGGGTGCGGGACGGGTGCGGGACGGGTGCGGGGCGGCTGCGGGGCGGGCGCGGGGCGGACGCGGCCGGGCCGGCGCCGCAGTGTGCCGCCGCTGCGACACGCGACCACACCGCGCTCGCACACGCGACCGCTCCGCGCACGACGATGCTGGCCCACTGACCGCCGCGAGTGATGTGCTGTGAATGGACGCACCTATGACCTAAAAGTTGTACCATGGAAGGAACGTGACTGTAAACGCATACGCAGGTTAACACAGTGCTAGTTTTAATACTCCCAAATAACTTATGTTGATACACGTGAATAGATCTCACTCAAGTTTTATTGCTGGATCAGATCAGAAATGTATATAAGCATACCTCCTGTAGTTAGTTGATGCTCACTGAATCGCGATCGTAAAAGTGAAATAACTGCGCTAACGATATGCTCCTCCACGTGAATTGCAGCACACGTGAAATTTAGACTTAGGGATCAATAGTATCTAAGATCAAGTCAGGTGGCCTAACCTAGACAAGAACAAGTTTACCTCTCCATGTGACCCTGTCATATAGTGATAGACCAAATTACATGAATAGCCCTCTTATTCTTGAACTTAGTTGTTTCCCACTAGACTATGTGGTCAAAATTCAGAATCTTCACAGATGACCATCTGCATACCTACCTACTCCTAGGTTATTTACTGCTATAAGTTTTCAGAAATTATCAAACGATTGAAGTATTTTAAAACGATAAAGTTAAGTTGAAATCACTGACTTTCAATATGGGAAAAAATGTTTTTTTAAGTTCCGACATAAATAGTGCTATAACTATTCATTTGACTAATTAGTAAATATATTATATATAACTTCATAAAATGGCATAAAAAATAACTAAAAATCAAGATTTAAATAAATGTAAATAATGGTAGGTAAGTTTATAGTTATTCAACAAAATTTATACACTGATGTCAAAAAGAATTATCAGTTCACAGTGCACAGTATGGGATGTGCCACATATGTCTCTATTCCAAGCTATCCATGATATCGCTACAATTTATCATCATCATGATCATAAACCTATTAACGCCCCACTGCTGGAACACAGGCCATAGAGTGTTCTTCAAAATTCGTACCTCGCAACGGCTGGTCTTCACAATAGCAATAGACTCCGCCCATTGGTCTCCAACTTTTATGTTATTCTGACTTCATCAGCCTTTTAAAAAATGATTTGTAATAAATAGGGATGGTATCTATGTAAAGACTCATTATGGATATGGGTACTTTTCCTTTCTAAAAAGTGTGTAAAAAATTCAAATATATGTCTTTGATATTGTATGTACCATTGCTATATTTAAAGACTACACATCGAAACAGATGTAAGAGATACATGTTTGTTGTATACTGTGTACACATACTATAGTATTTAAATTATATATTACTAGTGGCCGCCCTCGCTTCGCTTCGGTATTTTTATCCCCTTGGGGGTAGAATTGGTCAAAATCCTTTCTTAGCGGATGCCTACATCATAACATCTACCTGCATGCCAAATTTCAGCCCGATCCGTCCAGTGATTTGGGCTGTGCGTTGATAGATCACTATGTCAGTCAGTCACCTTTGAGTTTATATATATAGATTATGTATCGATCATAAGAAGCACGGTTTATGCAAATTCACGTTATGACGATTTTACAGCTAATTTCAATTAATAATTTTGTATCAGTTACATATATATGTTACTAATTACTAGATTGACGCCTGCATGGTCTACAATTTTTATTCCTTTTTGAAGCATCAAGGATTTCTATTTTCTATTTATCTGGGTAATCAGAAGCCTAATTACCAACTAATTATCGGGCTAGTTGGTAATTAGGCCAATTATGCTCAAACTTGCAAATTAAGTGTAATTTTGAAAATGTCGTCCATTTGTCTGCTGTCCAGCTGCATTTCATTAACCACCTCATTGTTCATAACTCTTAACTGTTATTTACAAACATATTTATTTAACCCCTTCAACATATAGGTAAAAGGTGAATCTGGTATTTACTGTTTGTCACAGATTTTTATAGCACAGAACAGCAAGTTATAGATGACTAGAGGTTGATGGCATATATCCTGATTTCAGTACGACCTTCGGTAGGGTCAATAGGATATCCTCTTAAAGAAGCTAGCTACCTTGAGAATAGCTAAGTCATTGCTAGATTTGGTTAAACTACAGGAGACGACCACAGGCAGTAGTTGTAATAGATATGAGTTCAATTGATATTATTCCGAGGTGTACTTCAAGGTTAATTTTGGGCACATTGTTTTTATTGTATTCATTAATGATATTAACAAGCCTGATTATACCAAAAAATAGTTATAAGCTGTAATTTATAAAACTGCACTTCCATTGAGGTCTGTAGACTTGTTCATGACGATCTCAAAACAATAATCAATTAGTGCAAATCTTTAAATGCATTAAATGTTGACAAATGTTTCCATATTAATTACTCTAGGTGACCTAAACTGCGTGTTACTGCATACAAACTTGCTGGTGTAAAGCACAAATTTGATATGCACACAGACTCGCGATGCGTCGCCATGCAGCTCGATGTTTTGCAGAGCGAGAAAAATCATTTACGCTAGAGTGCGTCGCCGATTTAATAAGGTCTGTCCACCTTGTTGGAGAGCGCCCGCGAGACCTTTTGCCCTCTACTTTCCCTTGCACCACCAATCGTTCCATGGAGTTCTCATTGCGAGTAATATGCCCGAAGAATTTGAGGATTCGTATCTGCACAGTCGATGATAATCTCTTTTTGATTTTGAGTTCCCTCAGGATTGAAACGTTGGTACGGTGCGCGGTCCAAGGAATGCGTAGCAGACGTCTCCAACACCACATTTCCAGACCGTCAATCTTGCGACGGTCTTTCGTTTTGAGTGTCCACGTCTCAGCTCCATATAGAAAGCTTGGAAAAACCAAGGATCTCATTAGCCGAACCTTTGTGTTTTTGGTTATCCTACGGTCTCTCCAAATCTTTGTGAGTTTTTCCACTGATGATCTAGTCATGGCGCAACGTCTTCGAATTTCATCCTCGCAGCCCCCCAGCCAGTTGGTAATAGTGGAACCCAGATATATGTAGCTGTTGACAACCTCGCAACCCGCTATACTCTGGACGTCTGGTTGGTTATAGTTAGCCCGATCCACAATCATTATTTTGGTCTTATCACGATTGATTGCAAGTCCAAAATCCAACGCTGTCGTCACTAGTCGATGAAGAAGCAATTCGATATCCTCTCTGGTTGACGCTAGGAGGGTAGTATCGTCGGCGTATCTTAAGTATACCGTTTAAACTTGTTTTATTTAATGAGTGGTGTGCGTGAAAACCTAAGCAACAAATAGTCTAACATATTATAACATTTAATTACCTCTGGGATAACAGCTTCATTGTTTGTTTTTATATGATTAATCATTCAACGGCTAGATTTTGGAGTTTACTCCTTAAGAATCGATTTGCATATATAAGGGGCCCGGTATGAGAAAAATATGAAGAGTAAAATCTATCGATGAATGACCTCGTTACGTTTTTGGTGCGCATCCTATGTCGTGCAACTTTGACAAACAGAGATAACGGATTGACATTAATATTTGTTTTAAAATCTGAACTGAATTTAGATATTCTTTCTGATAGAGCAATGGGGACAACGAGGTATGGTATAACCATTGATGCGGTATTTTCAAGATTCGTGAACCACGTATCTACGAATGTCCATGTGTCTTATTTTAGTTACCATAAATCACTTGTCACTGTAATTAATAATGCAGACAATGTTGATTTAATTAATATTTAAAAAAATGATAATAGTCTGATAGTAATAATTACATAATTTATCAAGATTCCTAATGATATATTTATGCACATCTGAAATTTACTATTGTCAAAAGTTTAATGTAAAATATTTCGTCGATTAGTTATAATAAATGTATATGAAATGAATAAAAATATATTTATATATGTATATTATTTTCATTAATTTGTTAATTTTTACCCTTTCATACAGTATCAATCTTTTTTAAGTTAAATAAACTCTTTTTGCGTCTGGTATCGAACTTAAGGAGTAAACTCCAGTCGTGCGTCGGAGCTGACACACAATTTTTTTTTTAATCTTAACATAATATATACTAGAAAAATCTACTCGGGACAGGTTTCAGACAGCTTTATTATTTTAAGACATAAGTAAACATACAAACGCACAATTAATTACCGATAAAGATAAAATAAACTGTGAATCAATTTCCTACATCGGCCTTGTTAATTGTGTTAAATTGTAACCTTGCGTGGTTATAAACCAGGATTAGCCTCGTTATAATATACTAAGTAGTCGCGTAAGAACATAATCCTGTTTGTTTTCTATCACCGATAATCACATTCGGGAGGGCAATAAGTAAAGATTAACAGTATCGCTACAATAATATGGAATCAATAGACAAGGTAAAATACGGAAGATATTGTAGGCTTTTGCTTCCGGAAAAACTTAGATCTAAATAATACCAAATAATTAACGTCGTTGAGGTTTTGGAAGGTATGTTTATGCTTATATTTTTTACCTAATCTGAAACTATCAAGTTTCAATTTTTTTACACCCGGGGGCCTACCGCCTATCGAGATTGCTTTGGCAATTGCTATAGCTTAAGATTTCATTATGTTATTTCTAACCGCCGAAAGTTTTCAAATGCCTCGAGCTCTTCTTGCATTGGTAATAACAATATTAAAGAAAATAAACACGAAGTATTTGAAATATTTGAAATTATAAGCTATAGCAATAGTCAAAGCAACCTTGATAGACGGCTACGCCCTCTGGATACAGGGATATTTTGACGTAAAATATGTAAGTATGTAACACTAATTATTTGAATATATTTTATGTTTAATGTTTTATCTCAAGTCTATATTTTATGAATATATATACTTAAACGAGAAAGGCTATATGAGGAACCTGTATATGTTAATGTTTGTTGATTATATCCTGATTTCAAATAAATAAATATTAAAAAACAAAATCTAGACACATAATTTACACAAAACAGCAAAGCTTTAGTATGATTTGGATCAAGATACACGTTCTTACGATTGAGGGGACTTACGACAGGATCCGTTTAAGTAAATCCTAACTTTCTCAAAATATAAATAAATACTTATTTTAATTTCTTTGTCAGATTTCATGTCTATATGACTCACAGTCATTACCCATAGCTGTAGCGGGATTTTGCTTTGAATTCAAACGCGGAGTCATGCCATTTTATTGATGATTTTTTGTAAATGATTTTTGGTCTTTAGATGCGACACCCTAAAACTCCACCCTAAATGTTTTAGGATGATTTTTAGGATAACGCACCTAGAGAGTTAAATGAAACCCGAGTATAATGACGTTGATTAATGCTGTACAAGAGAAACAATTAAATAACTTTTCTGACTTCCTTGTAACCAGAAAACATACAAAACGTACTTTTTTAATATATTATTTAGGTTATTATATTTTTATTTTAAGCATTTAACTGCTACATGTTTAAATTTAAAGAAAAGTTTAATAGTTCAAAATTCCACTAGGTTCAGGTTTCAGGCGGGATTCGAATTCACCGCTGTTTTGATGGATTTATACTTAGAAATTCAAACATATACCATACAATTACATAAAAAATATCTACACACTTTAAATTCAAAATGATAAACATTTATTTGAATAAGGGAAAGAATCACAACTTCGGTTTATGTTGTTTTCTATCTCTCCCAGCTGTGAATTTAACATTTGACCTGTATTTCATTCTTCCGACAATAGGAAGATGCCTATTAAATATATTTCGCAAATAATTTCCTTTCCTTTTCATGCCATTCCGGATCACATAATCTTCTTGTGTCAGAATGATTGATGAAATATTTTTTTTATTTGAAAACAGGAGATATTTTGATAGGATGAAATATGAGATTTGTGACTCGTGTATTTTCATTGACGAAATCTCAGATACAACACAATGCGTGGATTGCTGGAGATATAAAAACGGTATTTTAGTTATCTTTAGATGTTCCCACTTCACTTTTACAAAATTTAATTTTAAATTTATATTTTATAATGAAAATGGCATGGCCTTTATTATTTATTTAACCAGATGATCTAGACATATAAGATTTTATAAACTTAAATAGTTAGAATAAAATATTAGCCTTACCATTAATCACAAAGTCAACTCGATAAAGTTCTGACTTCTCTGAATAAGTGGGAGAACAGAATGGAACCGATACCTTATACAAAGGAATATTTAGGTAATCGCGACATCATTACAATACTTCTCTCTCTTTGAGCTTCCGTACCAGAAAGGTCCAATCTGGGATATTGCTGCTATTGCTATTACTTACGTATTTGTCTGTGTCACTTTTAAAGACACTTTTAAAGTTTTCTTTTAAGATTTTTTTATTAGGATCAGAAATTTTCTCATACATAGGTTGAACGACTATTACTCTTAAACTAACTAATCTATTTTAACCATGATAATTTTAAAAAGTTCATGAATTTTTCCAGGTTTATTAAGTCAATAGTTTAGCTTTTAGAGAGGGGGGGAGGGGGCGCCCTACACCAGGGGTGCTCAAATATGAACTGCTGGCGATCTACCTATCTATGCAGGGTTGTCGTACATACACGATATACCCTACCTACTTACCTACCTAGGTAGGGTGTACCGTAGCATATATAGATACTGGCTTTCCGCACAATAAACATTATTTTAGTCAAGATTTTGGTTAGGTTTATTTCTTTACAATATCAATGAAAAAACTCATAGTTATTCAAAATTGCAAGTTTATTGGTTGTTACAAAACAAAAGAGTTACATATGGTGTTAAACTTAACTAAGGAGTGACTTTGGATGTTGAAGCATGGCACTGCATGTCCTCAGCATACTTTTCATAAGATAGTACAGAACCACTGAGTGCTAATTGCAAGCATGATGACATATGATCGTCAGTTAGTCGATTGTGATATTTTGACATAACTTCATTTCAGAAAATGCAGACTCGCACAAGTAAGTAGACCCAAACGCGAAGGGGGCAGATTGAAGGGCGATTTGCCTTAGATTCGGATATTTATCTACAGATATAAAACACCAGAAATTTGTATCAGCTGCTGTAGCTTTGAGATGTATATCAGATATAATCTGCACCAACTCATTTTCAACAGAACATGAGTTAATATTAAACTGACTTGCTATTTCAGTAGCTAATTCCTCAATGTTTTTACATGAAAAAGGATAACTCATAAATGATGCCATATTTGCCAATTTACTGCAATCATAAAAACGCATTTCGAATTGTCCCAAAATATTTAATAATTCAGCCTCATAAGTGTCATAATTCATCTGAGGACTTTTCAGTTGATCTATCATAGGTTACAATTTACTTTCGAATGCCTTTACTGCGCTAATCATCTCAATAATAGTTTTTGCTTTACCTTGAAGCTCCGAGTAAATGGTGTTTAAGTGCATTGTGATGTTAGTCAAAAATGCCAAATCAGTCAGGCATTTTTCAACCTATGAGTGCATAACCTCTTTCGTCTAGAAAAGCTGTTATTTCTGGCAATAATTCTTGAAACCTTTCTAGGAATTTTCCGCGACTCAACTACCTGACGTGTTCAGCTGACTCCCTATCTTCCAACTGCAACTGTAAAGAGCCGCCGTTGCAAGTTACATGCACGGATGGAATTCACAATTTTTTTTGCAATGCCCATAATTTCTTCCGTGTTTAAAACTTTTGAACACAAAACTTGTTGATGTATAATGCAATGGAATGAAAAAAATGAAGGGAAATCTTCATTAGCTCGACACAATGCCACAAAACCTTTTTAGTTTCCAGTCATTGCTGGTGCTCCATTGGTTGTAATGCACACTAATTTATATATTAGTAGCTTGTAGTTTTTTTACAAAATTGAAGAAAACGTCATATATATCTTAGCCACGGGTCTTCCCCTTCAGAGGGATGATTGTCAAAAATTTTTCCTTAGCCAACATGTCATTCAATACTATCCGAATACAAAATACACAGCTGGGCAGTGTCTGTCATATCGGTGGATTCGTTGAACTGTAAAGAAAAGTATTTACATTCCATGTTTTAGTTTATCTACCATGTCCTGACTCGGACGAGACAACTGAAGTTCTCTAATAGCAGACATGATTTCTGTTTTATTTTTAAAATCTCCAAATAAAGTCTCACCCGCTCCAATAAATGCTTCCTTCACAACCAATCCATCTTCGAATGGTTTCTTGTGTTTTGCCAATATATGAGATATTTTAAATGACGCGATCGAAGCAGCTTTTGATTGTTTGGCTGGTCTTGTGAACATGGTTTGTTCTTTTTTCAAACAAGATATCAAATCAAGTATTTTTTGTTTTCTTAATTCACTCTGTGGCTGAAAATACTTTTCATAGTTTTTATGAACCGTTTTATGATGGCTCTCTAAGTTACCACGCTTAGGTATTGCAACTGACGCACGACAAATAAGACAAATGCACTTATCCTTCACCATACAAAAGAAAAATTCTCCCTCCCAATCGTTATTAAAATGATACGTTTTAGATTTCTTCGCTGCACTCATTTTGTACTATTTAATTATAAACTTTGTATCGACGTAGTATTGCCTTCAAGTTACAATTTAGAATGACTCCAAATCCTGCAGGCGCAACATTTATATCGGCTTGCACGAAAGTCTCGAATGTTCCCGTCAAACGCGCCGCCCAAAATTTCTAGAAAAGCGGCAAGAATAAAAAACGCGGCTTTTCTTTGACAAGTGCCGCGCGTTCCTTTGATAAAGCCGCCTTTTGCCGCTAGCAGTGTATTATTTTATTACGGAATAAATTTTTGTATTTTAGTTAGGTACCTACTTAATAAAAAATACTTAAAACTTCAATATTTAGCAAACAGATCCCTAAATTTAAAAATATTCTAAGAAACCCTTAAGTGAATATAAAGGAACTATTCAACGATATTCCACACGAAAAAATAAAATCACATCCAGGTTACAAGTTTGCGAGCTACCATAAAAATAACAGCTCTCTAGTGCTGACAGTCTCCAAGCAAAACTGGGGACGGACAGACAGACGGACATAACGAAACTAGAAGGGTTCTTTGTTAGGACTATGGAACCCTAAAAAGGAGGGTGTAAAAAGTAGAGTGGTATATCGTTTTTAGAGCTCGTTGTTGCGCCAAAGTAATCTTAAATCACAAAATTTTGTACAGAATATTATTTAAGTGCTTATTATGACTCCAAAAGTCAAGAGATTCATTTCTAGGTTGTAGTATTGCATTGTTTAATAAAGTTCCCCAAGATTGAGCTTCCACTGACCAAATTTAAATCTCAGATCAAGAATACTCTTATGAATAAGGGCTATTATAAATTTAATGACTATCGAAATGATCGTAATGTACGGACAGTGTTTCTTGTAATTTGTTTTTTGATGGTTATTAGTCATTTTTCTGAACAGTAATATTGTATCTATTTAATGCCGCTTCCTATATACTAAATATAATGTTAATTATAAAACTTATTGTAACTATATATTTTTTATATTCCGAATGATGTAATGGAAGATGACTTCAGACGTATCTCTGAAGTCATTTTCAACTAGACATGGGCGTTTTTGGTTTTGAACGCAAACGGATATTTATCGGATTTCAGATTTCAAAATCGATTTTAAAATCCGTTTTTAGATATCCGATTTCAGATGTGCTGAACTTAGCCAATTCACTAGTTTGTGTTATGATTTGGTTTTATTAGCTTACGACAATCACAAACAATTAATTGTAGGAAGCAAGGATACTCGTAGATTTTCGCGATTTTCCTTCATGCTTTAAATCTAGGCTTAGGACTAGCAGAAAAGTTATGTTTACGGTTAAGAGTAAAACTTTTGCGGCGCATTTAAAAATCGGCTTTTATACAATGATTTCTTTTTACATATTTTGTAGTATTTTGACGTGACAACGTCTTAAATTAGGTTGCGGCTGGGAGTCACTTATGAAAAAGTGTAACGCTCGGTAACGTTACGATGAGTCTCTCGTGTTAAGTTTAAGTTTACATGTACAATGTTTTAGTAAACAAAATATATTTCTATAGTTAAAAACCACACCAGGCTGGTGCACCACGCGCAGGTAATGTGTGACCCACGCGTGCCCCACCTGCGGGGCATGCTTCACCTACCACGCCGCGCTATACAACCACACCAGGCTGGTGCACCACGCGCAGGTAATGTGTGACCCTCGCGTGCCCCACCTGCGGGGCATGCTTCACCTACCACGCCGCGCTATACAACCACACCAGGCTGGTGCACCACGCGCAGGTAATGTGTGACCCACGCGTGCCCCACCTGCGGGGCATGCTTCACCTACCACGCCGCGCTATACGACCACACCAGGCTGGTGCACCACGCGCAGGTAATGTGTGACCCACGCGTGCCCCACCTGCGGGGCATGCTTCACCTACCACGCCGCGCTATACAACCACACCAGGCTGGTGCACCACGCGCAGGTAATGTGTGACCCACACGTGCCCCACCTGCGGGGCATGCTTCACCTACCACGCCGCGCTATACGACCACACGAGGCTGGTGCACCACGCGCAGGTAATGTGTGACCCACGCGTGCCCCACCTGCGGGGCATGCTTCACCTACCACGCCGCGCTATACGACCACACCAGGCTGGTGCACCACGCGCAGGTAATGTGTGACCCACGCGTGCCCCACCTGCGGGGCATGCTTCACCTACCACGCCGCGCTATACAACCACACCAGGCTGGTGCACCACGCGCAGGTAATGTGTGACCCACGCGTGCCCCACCTGCGGGGCATGCTTCACCTACCACGCCGCGCTATACAATTACACCAGGCTGGTGCACCACGCGCAGGTAATGTGTGACCCACGCGTGCCCCACCTGCGGGGCAGGCTTCACCTACCACACCGCGCTATACAACCACACCAGGCTGGTGCACCACGCGCAGGTAATGTGTGACCCACGCGTGCCCCACCTGCGGGGCATGCTTCACCTACCACGCCGCGCTATACGACCACACCAGGCTGGTGCACCACGCGCAGGTAATGTGTGACCCACGCGTGCCCCACCTGCGGGGCATGCTTCACCTACCACGCCGCGCTATACAACCACACCAGGCTGGTGCACCACGCGCAGGTAATGTGTGACCCACGCGTGCCCCACCTGCCGGGCATGCTTCACCTACCACGCCGCGCTATACGACCACACCAGGCTGGTGCACCACGCGCAGGTAATGTGTGACCCACGCGTGCAAGTAAATTCTTATTCTTATTTTCATTCAATTCCTTGTTCCTATTGTGCAATTTAATTATATTCATATCAATAAATATTCTACCGAGAAAAAGACGTTGTCACGTAAAATCTTCGCCCGTAAAACCGACTTTACAGGCAACCATTTTTTTTTGTTATTCTGTTTGTTTTTATTATTTTTCAAACCATTTACAAAATCAAACCTAATTACTTCAGGTTAGCGTCCAAAAATGTAAGTTGCTCGACTTTTGATGTTTTTAGACGACATATCTTTTCAGTGATAAATAATCCCGCCTCAGAGAACAGCAATAGATTTCCGTAAACAGCAAATCGAAATCGGACTTCCGAGCACGAAATCTGACTTCCGAAAACGAAATCACGAATTTCGAATCCGATTTACATTTGGATACTTGTGGTATTTGGTTTTGGTTCGGTTAGATTTCTGAAATCGGATTTTCTTGTTGAGAAATCGTTCGATATCGATTTGTATTTGAAATCGGATTTTGGATTCGTTTTGATATATCGGACGCATGCCTATTTTCAACTTGACGACTCTGTATATAATAATACAGGGAGAAAATAACAGCCCTTGCTGAATTTCTTGCCGGTTCTTCACAGTACAAGGTCTCCCGGCGTAGTTTTGCGAACCGATGGCATAGCTTCTAGACTTTCACAAGTGCTTGTAACAGCCTAGGCTGAATAAATGACTTTTCATTCACTTCATTTCATTTCACGTTTTTTTTTATTTAATAAAGGCTTACCAACTAAGCACATACACGGCATTCACATGTTATGAAATACAATCTTTAGTTATATATGTGTTTAAATTATAGGTATGCACAACATTCAAATCAAATAAATAAAAAAAAAAATGGATGCGTGTAACTTATGTACGCGCGTGAGAAGTTATACTTCTTTAGCATCATTAAAAATATTTTTTAATTGCATGCAAATAATTAATAATTACAATAAATTAATAAAAGGACTGGAAAAGGATAGTTAACACAGTCAATTAAGTTCAGTTTTAATTTGAAAAATTAAATAAATATTCAAAATATTTAATTAAAATCACTACTGAATTTAAGTTATTAGTCCATATGTAATTAGTACTTGTAAGTAACTAAAACACGTTGTGTCTATATAGAAACTAGAAACATGTGGATAAATATTATAAATATGAAAACAGTGATCAGAGGTGACGAGCGTGCCAACATTGTTTTTGACAACGCGATCATCTTATGGAGCTCCGTGGATCGTTCAAAGTACCTTTCGAACAGATGTCTAATAATCCACCATTATTAGATACTAACATTCATAACGCGCCCGCGGCCAACTTCATTATGTTACTTTTGTGTTACAGTGATGCGCGCGCATCTTAAAATTTCACTCTCATAATTTTTTCATAACGCGCCCGCGGCCAACTTCATTATGTTACTTTTGTGTTACAGTGATGCGCGCGCATCTTAAAATTTCACTCTCATAATTTTTTCATAACGCGGCTTAAGAAGTATAACTTCAAAAATTATTAACAAACAACACTTAAAACATCTAGTAGGAAATATCAATAATTTAGATAAACAGATCACAGTTTTCTGACAATTAATTATAACACTCCATCATTGTACAGAGAGGAGAAAAGCCACCATATTTATTCTTTCTGAAATCGGTATGGAATAGTTTGAAATTACACAATCTAGCTGAGACCCTGGGTACTTTTAAGTTAATTTGTGCTAGGAGGGATGGACAGTCCACTTTATCGTTTAATAATTTATGTAAAAATTGCCAATTGATACTTTCGCTGCTCTAAAGACAAGCTTTTGAAGTGCACCAACCTGCCAGCGTAGCTTCGGATTGAACGGTGAAACATGAAAGGCGACTTAAAAAACTTTTCTGTATTTTCTCCAAACGCTGTATATTATTTTGGTACGACGGATACGACACAACACTACAATAATCCACATGACTTCGTACCAAGGCAAAAAACAGAATTTTTAAAGCTAGGATCCTTTTAAATTCCTTGGTGTTCCTAAAAATAAAAGCTAACACTCTTAGGGATTTATTAAGTGTATTATTGATGTGATTAGTAAATCGCAGCTCAAAGTCAACAATAATTCCCAAATCTTTTATTTCATCTACTCTTGTCTTGGAATGGTTTTACCATTCCATTGAGTTGGTAAGTGCCTTGGAACTTTTTATGCCTTCGGGAGCATTTTATATGATAGCATTTTAAATCATCCGCGTACAGTCCAAAATCTGAGTTACAAATGCAATGCTTAATATCGACAATGAACATGATAAAAAGCAATGGGCCAAGGTGTGAGCCCTGTAGGACTCCAGAAGTTGGCACGATCTCCTTAGAAACAAAACCGTTAACTACCACTCTTTGTGTTCAATCAGTGAGATATGAGGTAAACCAATGTAACAAACTCCCATGGATGCTAAATAAATTGTTTAGTTTTTGTAATAAAATTGAATGATTAACTTTGCCTAACGCTTTACTAAAATCATTATAAATAGCATCTATTTCATTACCTGAGCTCAATTTAGTTATTGTTCTATCAACAAATGATATAAGATTAGATGAAGTAGAGCGTTTCCTAAAAAAGCAATGTTGTTGAGTGGCTATAACCTGCTTTATATGTGAAGTCAAATAAGGGCTTATAAGAGACTCAAACACTTACCTCACATTTTTACCATGCAAATATTATAATTTATTGAAAGTTGAACCCTAAACGTGCCCTAAAAATCACTTGTGATACTCACTTTACTGGTTAGTCAATGTGTGTATCGAATTACGTTATTTGAAGTTTGATTCACACTTAGTAGGTATCATAGCAACTAACTCAATAACAAGTCATTTTAAATAAGTAGGGAAAACTATTTTGCTAGATCATTTTTCAGGTATTTTTTCTTACCAATCCGTGATCATAATAATTTTTGTCCATCTCGTACATTATTTGAGCATTTTTATTCTGTATTGGATTGTGATGGATGTTAAGGATTAAGACTATTGTGGTTATCGCCTTTTCTGAATAGTTATAATTAGGTATAACCTACCTATTATTATTAAAATAACACATCCTTTTGTTAGTGTTCTGTTTTTATCGATGAGTAAGGTTCCAGGGCAGGGCAAGTGAGAAAAGGCAACGGCGCGAGTGATATTTTTGGTGTCGCAAGCGTCTGTAGGTTGTAGTGGCCGCGTTACTTGGAGGTTAAATTTAAAGCAAGAAGTTCTTGAGCAACAAAATTTCCGTGAAGAAATTCGAACAAAAATAAAACATCCGCGCTTTTCCTATGCTTTTTAGGGTATTAGTCCAGCTCGCATAGCCGTTTGTAACTATTATAGATATTGGAATTTAAAAATTGAAGAAGCGACATCTACAAACAAATGAAGCTTTGACGTAGCATCGCGGGCTCCACTTTTCATTATGGGCTTAAAGTATTTAAGACGGGATTCGGTACTTATCTCGAAAAGTAACGTTCAAATCGCTCGATTCTATCAATGCGAACTCGATATTGCGGTTATTAAACTGTGAACCATTCAATTCTTATATACTTTGTTGTAAACTCTTATATATTGTTGCAGTGTAATGGTGTGTTTCAAAAAACCCTAAATTTTTAACGCCTTTGCAATTGTATGTTATGCGCAATAATGCGTATGTACAATAATACTTCGTTGTGATTGTGCGTTCCCTGTCACTAGATTGATTTTTATCTGACACGCTTTGGACATTGGAACACGTTTTTCGGTTTTGTCAATTAGTATGGATGAACTAGAATCATGTTTTTTTCGAAGCTCGAAAACTTGTCCAAGTTTGTGTGATTTGTGGTCGCTCCGTTTTACATAGAAGACAATTTCCTATAACGAACAGAATGTTTTGAAAAAACCCCAACCCATGCGGGGATCTTTGGATTTTCTCTAGTGCGGCAAAATAACATAAGAGGGTACCCTTGCACCTTGTGAAGAACTCCCATAATAGCTGAGCCCCCTATGTAGTAATTCCCTTGTTTAATTAATGTTCGTTCGTTTTAGTACTTGTACCTATTTAACCTAAAATAACTTAAGACCCGGAATGGAATTTGATGCGCTTTGGCACAAACGATCATGACTATAATACATTTTTGCCCAATGTCCTTTGTAAAAAATATTAAATGTAGCTCTTTGCTTGTCGATTACAGGAAAACCTAGAAGTTTAAAGTAATTAAAATAAAATAAGTATTCGATGGGAGCTTCTATACAACTGACATGAATTTTTTTGCCCTTTTTTGCTCGATATTGTAATACAGTGAGCGAGTGCGAATCGCACTTGGCCGATATTTTGGTTAAGCAACAGCTTTGATGGCACGCTAAAAGTTTTTTTCACAGGCCTTGAACGTTCACAGGTGTCCTGCCATGAGGCTGTGTGGTGCGGCGGCGGCATGCGCGCTGACGGCGCTGTGGCTGGCGGGCGGCGCGGCGGGCGGCGGGGGAGGGGGAGGGGGAGGGGGAGGGGGAGGCGGCGCGGGCGGGTGCGGCGTGGCCGAGCTGGCGTGCCGCAGCGGATCGTGCGTGCGCCTCGACGCCTACTGCGACGGCATCGCGCACTGCCCCGACGGCAGCGACGAGCCGCCGCACTGCTCCGTCTGCAACCGCACCTACTACGGCCGCGCGGGCGTCGCCTACGCTCTGGCCGTCCCGCAAGCGCCGCGCGCGCCTTTCCTCTGTCACCTCACGTTCACGGCGGGCGGAGGGGCGCACGGGGACCTGGTCCAGCTCGCGTTTGACGAGTTCCGCGTCGGGCGATACGAACCGGGCGCCCTGGACGGTTGCCCCGACGGCTACATGCAGCTCTCCGAGCTCGGGCGACCCTTCACGGGCGGCTCCTGGTGCGGCGAGGCGGACGGAACCGCCCTGTATTATAGCGAAACCGCCACCGTCACCGTCTCGGTCAAGCTGTTCCGGATGAGGCTCGGCGAGACTTTCGGCTTCAAGCTCCGATACAAGTTCATCTCCCAACTCGATGCCGTTGTTAGGTGAGGCTCGTGAAAATATCGGGAATACTCGATCGAGTATTCGGGGAAAGAATGTTTCGATTGAAATTGTCGGTTTGCAGATTTGGGGCGATGGAGGCCCCGTTGGAAAGAGGTGCCGTTTCGCCGGGTACATACTGCACGCGAACGTACGAGGAGTGCCACCGTAAATCGTGTCGGTTGCAAAGTCCGAACTATCCGGGAATGTATCCGAGGTAACGGAGCTAAATATATATAGTGGAATATTGGTAAGATAATAGTTTATTATATATGTAGATTGATTGCTAAAATTATGTTTTTATACAGAAACGTCACGTGCTACTGGAGTTTACGACAAAAAGATATTCCTACATGTAAGCACGCTATGATATCAGTGCGGCAGGAATATTCACATAAGATGCAAATCAAGCGCTCAATATCCATGGCCAGGTGAGATAATGATAAAATATAACATTTCATGATATACATATAATAATGTAATCTTAAAGGTGATGGATATCTGACAATCCTTGATGTTTTCGTCTAGTTTAAACAAAACGGGGCGAGCTGTGCGTGCGTGGCGCGAGTGCACGGGCGAGAGGGACCGACTGATATTTTACGACGGCGCGTCCACCGATGACCCGGTGCTGGTCGAGTACTGCGGCGGGGACTGGCTGCCACGCGTGACGTCACGCGGCCCGGAGATGCTGGTGGCCTTCCACTCGTCGCCGTTCAGTGCCCCGCTGCGGCCCGCCGCGCCCGCTGCACCGCTGCGTGGCTTCGAACTCGATGTAGACATCGTGTTTGCCGACTCTGATTCGCTCGACTATGCTAGGTGAGTATCATGCTTACGACGCAAAGAAATACGTCGCATATTACTTATACTAATTACTTTTAAAATCACTGTAGGGAGGCACGCCGCTGCGAATTCCACGTTAAAGCATCTTCATCGGAGGAGGAAACAAACGCGACGACACCAAGTGGTGGAAGAGGTCGGCGAGGCCGCCTGAGGGCTCCCTCCCATACCCTGCCTCCCAATACCACTTGTACTTGGACGTTCCACGGCCGCCCCGGTCAGTATGCGTCCTAGCATTGTCCGTTTTACCGTGTTTTATACACTACTAATTAGACTGACCTTTCGCAGGTGACCTCGTGTGGCTATACTTCTCTAGTTTTACGCAGTATTCGCTAATGGAACCGAGACGCATCGAGAGTGGGGAAAGGGATGAGGACAGTCCCTCGACGAGAGCGACTCCACGCGCTCCACCGCCGACCGAAGGAGGATCTGATGGGACTTGTGCAGTGGAACTGGTGGTGTGGGACGGTGGAGGGGCGGGGGAGGTGGGAGCGAGCCTGTTGGGCCGGTATTGTGACTCCACGCCTGCGTTGTGCGCGCGCGCCGCTCTAGCCAACGCTACGCGGTCGCCACGCCCGTGCGCGCCACCCGATGGCTACGTATCAGCCGCCGCTCTTATGTCTCTCGCTGTAACTACGCTGCCTGGAACGGCGACTCATCCTTTAGCGTTTTCTTTGCATTACGAATTCGTGGACGCTAGACTGGAAGGCGCGCCGCTCCCGGACGACGGGAGGCGGGCTCGGCCGTGGCCGCCGGAGTGCTCGAGGACACTGTCTGTGCCGGGTTCGTTTTCATCGCCGCGAAACGCGTTGTGGTTCGGTCGCGGGGGAGCGCGTCATTTGCGCTGTATCTACCGACTGCAGACGGGAAGTGGACGGATAGCCATGGAGCTGGCTGCGGCGACGTTCGGCCGCGAGCCCGCATGCACTACGCGCCCTGATCCGCTCACGGGGCAGCTGGCGTGCTTTCCGGAACAGGAGACCCGCGTCGAGGACCCAGACTTTGTCGACGATGTGCCTGGAGATTTCGATGGGGATGACGATGCGCCCCTGCATGTTCCACATCTTAAAATATACGAGTCACCTTGGCCGGGATTCAGGGTGAGTGATAGTGAAGTTAAGGATAATTTAATTTAACATTTATCGACTGTTTTTTTTTTAATCTGATTCATTTACCCATACAGAGGATCTGTATTATTTAGTGATGAAAATGTGTTTTTATTTATTTAAAGAATACGATGTTCGCATCCTACTTGATGTTAAGAGTAAGTGGAGTTCTAATGTAAGACAGTATAAATATATGCTGCACTGATCGAAAAAGTTAAAGTCCTTATTTCCTTGTACATAGATAGAGCCTGTTCACTTCAGGAGTTGTAGCATAGTAATTCTTCATGTTATTTTGTGTGTATGCTCATGACAATATCACCGAATTTGAGAATCACCAATGACCTATTGTGGTAGGTGCCTGTGGCGTGCATATGCGACAACACGACAGCTCCCCTAAAACTGGGGGCAGCGGGCGGGGCACTCGAGTTGGAGCTGGTGTCGCGGCGCCTGGCGGCTGCGGACGACCACCGCCGGCTGCAGTTCCGCGGCGACTGGTCGCGCCACCCAGCGCCCTCCTGTGCCCCACGCCGCCGCCTCGCCCCGCCCGGACAGCGCGTGCATCTCACCTTCCCATATGAGTCAGTGCTCTAATTTGTGTCTCGGTAACTGAACACTGTAGCCCATACTGGTAGAAGCTTGCGACACCGACGCTTTCGTTGTTGCATGACCTCTTAAACTCATTCTTTGTTACTCGCTTTTGTGGTCAAAAAAAGCTTCCGTAGACAGCTTAGATGAACTTTCTGTATAGCTAAGCGTGATGCATCGGTCCATTCTCAAGCGGGAATCATACACGATTATAGTATGTGGTGTTGTTCAGAAACGAGCGGATGTCCGAGTGCGGTGAGACGCCGTTTCTGCTGGCGGCGCGAGGGAATCGCTCCGTGTTCTTGCGCGTGTGGGGCGAGGAGCTGGTAGGAACCGACCCACCTTGCGCCACCACCAACCGTCTGCTCGTATACGATGCGCACACTTCTAGGTCAGTCGGATTCTTATTCTGACCAGAATGTATGAGTCACGTACAGTAATTTTGTATATCTGCAGAGCAAGCATAACCTACTTTAATCACGTAGATGTATCTAAGAAATGCATCATATTACGTCATTGTATTAGGTATATAAAAACATTTATTTTCTCAATAAATCAATGCTCATCATGCATTCAACAGTAACAGTTGTCTTCCTTCCTTCATCCTAATATCATTATGTAGGGGGTCACCCCTACAGTTTGGTCCTTCGAGCCGGATGGAAGGACCAAACTGTAGGGCATTTCTTAGATACATCTACGTGATTAAAGTAGGTTATGCTCGCTCTGCAGATATACAAAATTACTGTACGCGACTCGCACACAGAACAAATGTAAAATAATTAATCGGAAAAATTACGTTTGCTATCTTCTCAAATCAATATATATCATCATCATTTCACAACGTGACCTCCTCTGCAAAGACCTTTCCCCCAAGTACTCCTCCCTGATTAGTGGTTTCCCGCGACCGTTAATAGATCGTTGGATCACCGAGCGTCGGCCACCTATGTGTACCTATGTGTAAACGTATAGGTTGATTCGAGCGGTGTGCCCGGGCGGGGATCGCGCGGTGCAGGTGTGGAGCGAGGAGTGGTGGGGGCGCGGGTCGCGGCCGGGCGCGCTGCTGGTGGTGTGGCGCGCGCGGGAGGCGCAGCACGCGCGCTTCGCGTGGATGGAGGTGTGGCGCGCCGCGCCCGGACCCGCGCCCGCCCCCGGCCCGCTGGTGCAACCCGCGCCCGGCGCCGGGGACAAGTGGCCCAACGCGTCCGCGTCCTGCGCCTACGCCTGCGCGCCGCTCGCCGCCTGCATGGCGGCCGCGCTCTGGTGCGACGGCGAGGTGGACTGCCCGGGTGGCGCTGACGAGGAGCACGGGTGAGTACCCTCCGTACTCCCGGAAAGGTACAAATAATATGATAAATATAATGAGCGATTGAAAATTAAATGCTACCGTCTTCGCTGGGACTTCTTATTGGTAAAAAACCTATCGATAACTATGACGCGACGGCCAAGAACGACCGAACGCTCTTGCTGAATCATGGAGGATGTCGAGAACGATCACTCTCATATGTTACTAGTGGCCCGCCTTCCTTTCGCTTCGGGGTAGAATTGATCAAAATCCTCTCTTAGCGGATGCCCGCGTCATAACATCTACCTGCATGCCGAATTTCAGCCGGACCCGTCCGGTGGTTCGGGTTGTGCGTCGATAGATCACCATGTCGGTCGGTCACCTTTGAGTTTTATATATATAGATGATCGACTCTTTTAAAAGTTAACCGAAGACCTGAAATGCACGCATGAACTTCGGGAAGTAAACCGAGCGATCGTCGCAGGTGCGGCGCGGGCGCCCGCCTCCTGGCGGCGCTGGCGGCTCCGGCGGCGGCGGGAGTGGTGGCGGCGGCGGCGTGCGGCGCGGCGGTGCTGGCGCTGGTGTGTGCCGCGGTGCTGAAGCGGCGCCGGACGCGGCGCGCCGACAAGCAGCTGCTGGGCGCGCTGGCGGCGGGCCGGCGCCTCACGGAGGAGCTGCTGTACGACGCGTCGCGCGCCTCCTCCACCGCCTCCTCCTGACGACGCGAGCGTTCCGTCGAGTACATCCACGTGGACCGCGAGACCACCGTGTGACGGAACGCCGCACCCCCGCGCGGGCGCTGGACGTCGCCCGCGCTCCCCTCCGCAGTTTGTGATCGCCCATCACTGTTGTGTTCTTTCGACGATTCTGTTTCGTTATTATTCGTTGGCGGCTCGCGTCGCTCCCGCGGGAGCGTGCGCCGCGTCGCGGCCTTGTGATTTATCGGTGACGAATTATCGCGAAGTGCGCCGCCGTCGCGTTCCCGACGGATCCGTGAACTCGTTTTTATATGTTATATTGTTGATGAACTGTCCCGTCCCTCGTTTCCACTTGAGTTATGGAACGCTAATATAAATATAAATTAAATTTACGAAACGATAAGTGTGTTTTTTTTCCACTACCCGTTGTAACATTTTCATACAAGGCCATCGAATTTCCCTAATGGTTTTGGTGAGAGTCAGGCGTCTCACACCAACCAATTTTTCTTAGCCGACCTAATCCTGTTTCCTATATACTAACTACATCGAGGAGCTTTAGTAGCTTTCCTGAGTACAATGAAAAGGAACATAACAAGGTAGAATAGTAGTAATTTCTTGCTCATCATTATCAACCTATTAATGTCTTCACTGCTGGAGCATCAGCTTTTCGTATAGATAGAATGGAGAGAATAGGCCATGTCCTACCACACAAGCACAATGTAGATTGGTGGGTGCTAATGACTGCAAATACTGTCGGGACCAATAGCGTAACGTGAAAAAGCGAGAGATAGTAAACTTTCCATCACCCTTCCGATGACCGGCTATTTCGAAAGTTGCTTAACTTCCATAATCGCAAACGAATATGCTGTAAACTGCGCCATCCGCAAATGCATCCGCTGTCAAATTGAGATATTCTCAATTTTTTCGCTGTTCTTTAGTCTATAAATATCGTTCTATCCAATTTTTAGATTATTTAGATAACACCAAGTTTACAAACCTTCTGAAGAAAGTTGGTACTTTCGCAATTGCAATTAAGATAAAACAATATTTCATTCAAATGGATAGTATTAATATAACAACAGCTGTTATGAATAGTTTAATAATATATTTTTCTTTAACTACTACAAAGTTGGAGCTGTTTAATATGAAAACAATTGTAGTTAATTAGGGTAATTTTGAAAATGGTTGCTTCTTTGTTTAAATGTGATTTCTATGAAGAAATATTGCATATGAATGCAAGGAAATTATTGATGTTTTGTTATACTTCTTCGGCGCTACACTCTTGACAGAGTGGTCGTGGTCGTCACATCAGGATTGGTGGCGCGCTTCACAATACGCCGCCATTCGTCCCGCACTGCGGCCTTTCTAGTGCACTCGTGAAGTGGACCGTTCAGTGCCGCTTTTATTTGGTCAGTCCAGCGCATTGGTGATCTGCCGCGCGCCCTTACGCCCTCGACGCCGCCCTGCACCACCAGTCGTTCCACTGGCACATCATCTCGGCGTGAGATGTGGCCAAAGAAAGTTAGAATACGACCTTGCACGATGGAAGACAGACGTTGTTTGATGGACAGTTCCTGGAGGATGGATGCATTGGTTCGGAATTGTGTCCACTGTATGCCAAGCATTTTCCTCCAGCACCACATTTCTAGAGCGTCTATCTTCTTTTTCTCACTCTCTCGCAAGGTCCACGTCTCAGCACCATAGAGGAATATGGGAAACACTAATGCCCTGACGAGTCGTGTTTTGTTATACATGGTGCAGCAAATTAGTCTACCCGCCTGATGGTAAATGTAAATAGAGTCCAGTTACGAATAAAGCTGTTGCGTAAGAAAATCCTTTATACAGATCTCAATGGAATTCTAGTCACTTTGCGACCTTTAATAGCTATTGAGATTGTGACTCGCCACCAAATTAAAAGATATACACTTTAAATAAAACTAGTTTTTCACGGGTTTTACAGGCTGCTTCGTCGGAATGATTTTTTATTTAATTTTGTCGAGCTACCTTCGAAAGACTTTTATTGAGCGTTCGGTTATTACATTGTTCGATTTTTACAGTTTTATTGTCTATGTATGAATTTATTACTTAAATTTAGTTAATAAAGTACTTTATTTAAAATTGTTTTTTGTAATTTTGTGTTTATTTATTTGACCCTAACTACCGTAAACTACCACCGGTTCCAAAATTGGGAGACCTTTCTGAGAAGAACCGGCGAAACAAACTCAAGAGAGGCTTTCTATCTCCTTCTTATGTTAAATTATGCAAACAAAAAGAACTAATAGTATCTGTTGGTCTTGCAGTGTGCAAAAAAGAACTAGTTTTATTTAATGAGTGATGTGCGTGAAAACCTAAGAAACAAATATATACACTTTAAGCCCGGCTTAATCAGCCGTAAGGGGGTATGCCACTATACCATAGAGCTCTGGAACTTTACCGACAGCAACAAAACACCACTGAAGTGGTTACTAATAGAGTGGCCCTCTGAAAGTGGAGATGAAAGCCGATGAAAATAGTAGATTATTAACCAAGGGGATAAAGCAGTATCACGGTAATATTATCTATACAGTATTGTGACTCCGCCCTGTCCTTGAAAATAAATGCCTACACCGAGCGCTGCGTTGGTACGCGGTAGGGCCGCCAGCCTACAGTATTTTATGTAGTTTTGTTTTTAACGCGAGTGTAGGTAGATTACTCGTTTGTCTCTTTTTTCATCCTAACCACTTATTTATATATTATTCCAGATATTTACCCGATGGAAAAACCGAAATACCTAAATATTAGAAACAAATAACGTACTAGTAGATAGGTATATAAAAAAATATTCTATAAAGGTAAGACATCTTTCCAATATTTCAGGTAATTTAAAAAATGATATATCTGGGTGTGTTATTGAAGAGTTCAAGCAACCAGAAACAGCAATCGTGCTGTTGTACGATATTGATCGTCATTTGTTCTTTTCCATACTAAATCATGTAGGTATCTACTTAATTAAATCAAATATTTACAATACAAAACGCACGTTTAAGCTTAATACTTTTTCAAAAAGATGTTATAATGCTTTATATACAAACTCAATGGTGTAAACACAGATGTAGTTCAGTATAAATTTCGGTAAGCATTCCAAATTCAAATCACATTCTCTCCCTAGAGGATGAATGAAATTCAGTACAATTTTCTTTCCCTGTTTTTAACAGATTATAAATGACTATTGTTATGTTCGCTTTTTGTGGCATAGAATGTCACTTTTTTGAGTAAGTGGTACGAAAAATTTATTTCGCACCAATTTCATAATGGAAAATAATCGCAATCGTTATAAAAAGCATAATTGAAATAAAGATTAAAGTTAAATCGAGTTTGGTATTTCATTTTAATTATTCATAAAAAGGTCATTCTATTGGCGGTCGTGTTGCGTGGGCACGGAACAATCTTTCTGCCCACGCGTGAACTTTCTTCGGTTCAGACCCCGTATCCGTAACCTTTGCAGAAAATCGTACCTGCATAATTTACTTAACACTAAGGCCATATAGACCCACAACACTTGAGAATAAGACACGATATTGCATGGCAATTGGCCTGGCGCGTAAAACTAATAAAAGTTGTGGAGAGATATTTTTCAACTTTCAGTATGCGGGACCATGCTGGTAAAGTTGTAATTAGTGTCCGACCGAAATTTCGGTTTCGGTTTCGGCCGAGCTTCGGCCAAAAATTAAGTTTAGGCGGCAGTTTCGGTTTCGGCCGATACTTTTGCCGAAACCGAAACTGATTTCGGAAGTTGTCGTGTACGCTCGCCTTACTTCGTTTCTCGCACAGCAGTCCATATCCTATATTGAGAAGTGCAGTTTCGATTTATGATTCTTCTAAGTACAAATACAAACCTAAGTATTAATTAATAAGATTTCGAAATACCAATGGGTATTTAATGAAATAGTAACAATTGGTAAATTGATAACTGATAAAAATTTTGCTATGAGAACTTAATTTGAAAAAATTTAAAAAATATAAATATTTTTTTATATTATATTTAATAAATGATTACCTACAACAAAATTAATATACTGTTTTTCTATTAAATTTCATGTCCTAATTAATGCTGAATAATGGGTAAAATGCACCAAATTTCAGTTTTTTAAGGAATTTTTATCTTGACCACGTGAGTAAGCCACGGCCGAATATTCGGTTTCGGTTTCGGCCGGAAAACCAGTTTCGGTCGGACTCTAGTTGTAATGCTCGAAAAAAAGCTGGTGACTCAAAGTAGAGCGCATAATGTATGGTACCACAAGTTTCTGGGGAAAAACTAATAATTGTAATGATGACCCATCAAAAACATTCTGTAAAAAACTAGCCAAGTCTCGATGGAGCTGCTTGTTTATCTCTAAAAAGTAATGAAATCTAGACAAAGTCGTGCCAAGTCTAAGGTTCCTTACTGCGATTTCTTTATTATTATAGTTAATGTTGTGTGACTTGGCCGTTGAAGGGTACACAAGGTTACAAAACCAGGTGCTACATGACACCATTGCACCAATCTGTCGCCAGAACCGCTACCCATTGACAATGGAAAATTGCCACTTGGAAAACGTTGATTGAATAACCAGTCAATTGTAGGCTTGATAAAGTTGCGTTTACACGTAATGTTGCACGTATGAATGCATCGGTGTGTTTGATACGGCAGTGTTTGCTTCGCGCTCGACTTGGCGGGGGCACTGCCGTGCCTCCCGATAATATGAGGAGCGACCAGTGAATTTGTAGAAAACTGTTGGTGAAATATCATCCGACTTATTTTACTGTGATCTTGTTTTAGAATTAATAGTGAATAATTATGTATACAAAAAAACCCGACTTCATAATACCAAAACCACAGAGTGAAAAATAAAACATATTATTTAGGTATATCTAAAGTACATTTTAATTTAAATTAACATTGGGTGTCGGTGCCATGCCAACCCAAGCAGTAAATGGTAACTCAGATGTAACAACAAGGTTTTTATTAGACTTGCAACGATATTCGGTTACGATTCGGTATTCGGCCTATTCGGCTGCTTTTATTATATTCGGCCGAATACCGAATACTTAAATAATATATTTTGTCATAGAGAAATAATTGTTAAAATGAAAAATTAAAATCGATTGATTACGTATATATTCATATTTTCATTTCTGTTTTAAAATCATTTAAGTAGTCATTGGTACATAACACGGGTACATAATCATCTTCTGAATTGGAAAAATGGAGGATTCTATGTTTTTGAATTATTGTGGTAATCAAAATTTAGAAGGGTAAGGTTCTCATTTCTTTTGTAATCATTTATTAAGTAGTCATTGGTACATAAAACAGGTACATAATTTAATCATTTTTTGTATTAAACAAGTTAACAGTTTTTAATTTATTCAGTCATGTGATGA